GTGAATAGCGTTTGATCAAGAAATCGCAGGAATAAATAATAAATAAACGAGAAGTAAAGAGAAGAGTAAGAGGCACACCGAATTTACCCTGGTTCACCACAACTTGTGGCTAATCCAGCCTCCCGAGAGACTCTCTCGAGCTACACTACTATCTCGTTAAGCTTAACGGTGCTTAGCAAACCCGTACAACTTGAGAGTTTGAGTCACACGAACCTCAACGAACCTTCGAAGGAAACAACCCTTCCTTCGAACAACAAGAGAAATATTTTCTCCGCTCAAGTGTCTAAGAACACTAAAAACACTCAAGAACAATACTCTCCTTTAGAGTGGATAATGAGTAACTAAGAACGCTCAAGAACACAACACAAGCGTCACAAAAATTGCTCTCAAAAAACTATGAATAAAGGATGAATGATTTGCATTGAAAGAGTAGGAGTTGTGAAGTAATGTGGTATGTAAAACAGACCCAAACACCCCATTTTATAGTGCCAAAATAGGCTCCAACGGATCAAAACATTTAAGGGGTGATTGGCTTGATTTTTGGGATTTGATTGAAATTGGATATGCTGAAAATCAGCCAGACAGCGCTATCCTAGGCTTGGACATCGCTGTTCTAGGCTTGGGTTTTGAAAAATGGGAAGCAACGGTCATGCCAACAGCAATGTCCAATACCCCTACATCGCTGTTTTGGCGGTTGACTTCCAAACAAGGAAAGTTTTAGCCTTAAATTCCTTCCAACGGTCAGGTCCCTACATCGATGTTCATTACTTGAACATCGTTGTTTAGGTCTGACTCTGAAGTTGGAAAGTTTCGCCTGACAGCGCTGTTGCTGGGTCAACATCGCAGTCCAAAAACTTTCTGCCAGAAGCATTTCTTTTTTGCTTAGGTTGGACATCGATGTAGGGTGGTCTACATCGCTGTTTCAGATGTTTCTGGAAACCCAACCTTGGCTCAACAGCGATGTCTAACAACCAACATCGCTGTTGGAAGACTTAACGCCAAACCATGGTTTTCAGCTTCCCATGCCAGACAGCGCTGTTGGTTACACCAACATCGCTGTTGGGTTGGTTTAGCCAGACCCATGGTTGGTTTAGTCATGCCGTTAGCCGATGTCAAAAATGTAAGTTCTCCAAAATAGAAACCAAGTATTAAAAACATTTGTTTAATGCATTTTGCTAAGAAATCAAGTAAAACATCTTAAAAACCACGTCATTTAGTTGAAAACCACGGCTAGCCAAGTTTGCGCCGTTTCGCATGGTTTTCACTAAATGACCAAAAACGGAAGGTGGTTTTTGAAGCGTTTTTGTTGGAGAACTATTTAAATATGCCCAGGAGTAAAAAACAATCATTAAAAGTTAAAAGCCACTTGGTGGGTTTGGACACCAAAAACCAACGCCGATAACCGAAGGCCGAATGCCGGTTTCTGAAGACCGGACGCCGGATGGCTTGGTTTTTGGTTTGGGCGAACTTCAAGTGTTTTTAGGCATGTTTAAAACTTAGGAAAACATTTTTGAAAATGCAAAAAGTATTTTGATGAAGTGAGCCTAGAGAGCCAAGTTTTTGAAAGTTTGTGCCGGTCTTGATCACATCAAGACCGACTCAATACAATTCTAAGTCTTCGTTCTTGATTCTTGGTTCTTGGTTATCAAATCATCATGCCATGTTCCTTCGCCTTGGTTTTGCTTACTTTAACCTTGTTATTGTCACGGCGGTTTGGCATTATCAAAACCTGTCATAAAACGAACACGGTTTAGTACGACATAGGCGTAAACCTGTGTTCCAACAATTTCCCCCTTTTTGATAATGGAAAACAAGACGGGGATATGCATACTAAGGGATATTTGATTTTGAAACATGTGAAAGAAAAAAAATTCCCCCTTAATTTGTGCTAAAAAAAAAGACGAGTAGTCATATTAAAATCAAACGATCCCGTTTTTAGAGACGTTCCCCCTTAGTGTATGCATAACCCTTTTCTCCCTCCTTTTGACATTAACAAAAAGATAAAAGATGATTTTATTTATTAAATTGGGAAATAGAGGAGTACAACGGAAGCAATAAAAAAAACAAGACAATTGAAAGAAGAAGAGATAAAAATTCTAGGTGCGGCCTAGTCTTTGTCTTTGGTTTCCTCCTCGTCGTCGTCGACGTCCATCTCATCCCCGTCAACGGCGTCATCGAACTCGTCCTCGTCTGGGGAGCTTGACGGGGCGTAGGAGCCATCCTCTTCGTCCTCGTCACCGTACACTTGCCCAAGGAATGTGTCTTGGTACGGTGGGGGGATGTAGTTGACGCGTTGGAAGTACGCATTCATGGCATGCCCTTGGCGTTGAACAACCTCGTGGAGCCGCTCAAGGTAGCCATCCATCCCGTCAACTTTGAAGTGAAGCCGGTTGAGGGAGTCGGCGATAGAGGCAAGGTTGGCCCGGGGCTGGGGTTTGGCTGGACCAGCAGCAGGACGGCACCGTGGCGCGGCAGTGGTAGGTCCGGCGTTGTCTGACCGTTTCTTGAAGGTTTGGGTGCTGATCGTCCAAATCTTCGTGGCCTTCGTGAGCGGGCCAACGATGGTGGTCACCTTGAACCGTTCAAGGATGTCCCAAGAAGGGGTACGGGAGGAGGTGATCGTGGTCGGTGGATGCTGCGATTGTCATGTAGATCATGACAAACTTCGCCCAATTGGTTGGCGCCGAGTGCATGATCGCATGGAGGAGCTTGAGGTCCTCACCAGACATGATCGTGTGCCCGTGCTTCCGGGGCTTGATGATACGAGACACGATGTAGAGAAGGAGGCGGCTCTCGGGGTTTGCGAAGTGGATGGTGGGGCGGCCCGTGGCGTGGCGGATGAGCTCGTTGATGCCAAGCTCGTTGAGGACAAGGCCCTCGTTGTTGAGCACCCAGTCTTCTCCGTCATAGGTGGAGATGTCATCGCCTTGGTAGGGAAGGCCAGTGATGCGCCCAAGCTGCTCAATGGAAAGCTTAATCGGTGTTCTCTTGACAAGGGAGTAGAGCACGTCGTCCTCACGCCGGAGGTTGGAGTAGAAGACCTGAATCAGCGCCGGGTTGATCTCCTTCCTAGCCCGGGAGACGAACGGCCAAAGGCCGGTTTGGTGGAGCTGCGCGTCTAGGTCGTCGTAGCCCTGCAACTCCGGGAAGCGCTCCGGGACAATCCGCGGGGGAGCCACAACCCGTTTAGAGAAGAAAGTGAGGAAACGGGTGCGCTCCTCCTCGGAATCGAACCAGAGGCGCTCCTCGGAATTGGTTGCCGGTGCCCGCGATTTAGACTTTGATTTTCCGGAAGTTCCTGCCCTGCTCTTATCTTTGCCCATGATGAAGATTTCTCAAAAAAAATTGATAGAGAAGATAAAGTATGCAAGGAGATTGAAAAGATTTGTGTTTGTGTGTGTAAAAGTGAAGAGAGGAGACCAAAATATATAGGGAGAGGGGTTCCCAACGTTCAAAAATTTGAAAAAAGTGGTTGTTGGAGCATTAAATGCAGTGCCCAAGGGGTATTTTTTTTTGAAAAAGTCAGTTTGAATAGCGATGTCCCAAATGCTACATCACTGTCGGGACAGCGTTGTTAAGCCTCTAGACAGCGCTGTTTTGCGTCAAGTTTTAAAAACAAGTGTCAAATGCACAGCGATGTTGGGTATCCTACAGCGATGTTCCCAAAGTTTCTGGCAATGTGTAAGGGTTTGCACCCATTAGAAAAGCGCTGTTAGGTTTCCCTACATCGCTGTTTTACGATTTAAAAAAAATTTGTAAACATGGACAGCGATGTTGAGTAGAAGGACATCGCTGTTTGAAAAGTTTTTGGTTTTGGTTGAAAACAAGGTTTTTTGGGTAGACAGCGATGTTTTGAAAATAGACATCGATGTTTAAAAAGTTTCTGGAAAGCAAAGGTAAAGGGAACTCCCTGGGACAACGCTGCTAGTGTATTGTACAGCGATGTTGGCTCAAGCTGGTTGACGGTGTTTCCTTCAACAGCGTTGTTGGGTCTCCTGGACAGCCATGAACGAGGTACCTGCAAAAAAGAAAAAGTTCTCCGACGCTCAAGTTAGTAAACGTTTAACAAGTTAAAATGCACAACTTAGATCATCGTGGAGTCAAGGATTCCGAGTTCACTTCGAATGCGCAAGAACGACTCTTTCTCTAAATGTTTTGTGAAAATGTCGGCCAATTGGTTGTGTGTTTCAACAAACTCAATTTCGACATCACCTTTGAGAACATGATCTCTAATGAAATGATGCCTAATGTCAATGTGTTTCATCCTTGAATGAAGAACGGGGTTCTTTGTCAAGCTTATGGCGCTAGTATTATCACAAGGAAGAGGAACGTGATTGATACTGAGGCCATAGTCCACGAGTTGTTGCTTCATCCAAAGGATTTGAGCACAACAACTACCGGTGGCTACATATTCCGCTTCGATTGTGGATAACGCAACACTGACTTGTTTCTTACTAAACCATGAGACTAGAGAGCTACTTTTACGGTAAAAGTCCCACGCGTAAAAGTCCCACGCGTACTTTTACGGTCCAATTTGCAACCGGCAAAGTCCGAGTCGGAATAACCAACGAGTTGACACGAAGAGCCTTTTGGATACCACAGTCCAACGTTAACGGTTCCAACAAGGTATTTCATAATCCGTTTCACCGCCGTTAAATATGATTCCTTCGGACATGATTGATACCTTGCGCAAAGGCATACGCTAAACATGATATCCGGCCTACTAGCAGTAAAATAGAGAAGGGATCCGATCATACCTCGATATTTTTTGACTTCTACTTCCTTACCTTTCTCGTCTTTGTCAAGATGGTCAGACGTGCTCATCGGGGTCACCATGGCTTTGGCGTTGTCCATTTCAAACCGTTTTAGGAGCTCCTTGCAATATTTAGCTTGTCAAATGAATGTGCCATCTTTCATTTGCTTGACTTGGAGTCCCAAAAAGAATGTGAGCTCGCCCATCATTGACATTTCGAATTCACTTGTCATTAGCGTTGAGAATTCCTTGCACAAAGACTCGTTAGTAGCACCGAATATTATATCGTCTAAACTTGAACCAAAAGGATGTTATTGTTTTTACTCTTGATAAAAAGTGTAGTGTCAACTTTTCCCCTTTGGAAACCACTGTCCAAAAGAAATTTACTCAAACGTTCGTACCAAGCACGAGGTGCTTGTTTAAGACCGTAGAGCGCTTTCTTGAGTTTAAAGTCGTGGTCGGGATACTCAAAGTCTTCAAACCCCGGGGGCTGGTCAACGTACACTTCCTCTTGAATAAAACCATTGAGGAAGGAACTCTTAACATCCATTTGATAGAGTTTAAAAACCATAGACGAAGCAAAAGCAAGATGTAAACAAATAGCTTCTAAACGTGCTACGGGTGCATAAGTTTCTTCGAAATCAATGCCTTCTTCTTGATTGTAGCCTTTAGCTACGAGCCTAGCTTTGTTTCTAGTGATTATTCCATTTTCATCAAGTTTTTTACAGAACACCCATTTCGTACCAATAATCGTACGATCATCGGGCCTTGGCACCAATTCCCAAACGTCATTTCGTTTGAATTGGTTTAGCTCGTCTTGCATAGCCAAGGTCCAATGTTCATCGTTTATTGCTTTGGAAATGGTTGTAGGTTCAATTTGAGAAACAAAAGCCATGTGTCCTACGGTGTCCCTAAGTGAGTTACGAGTACTTACCCCGCGGTTGATGCTGCCGATTACCTGGTCAAGTGGATGGTTCTTGTTCGTTCTCCATGCGATGGGAAGCTCGGTTTCCTCTTGTTCCTGGGCTTCCTCGTGTTCTTCTTCGTCCGCTTGATCCTCATTTTCGACCATCACTTGTGGTGTTTACTCAGGTTGTGGTTGTGGGTTGGTGTATAATGGCGTGTCTTCCTCATCATCTTCAATGTATATTCTTTCAAGTGAATCTGCAAGATCATCACAAATAGCCTTTCTCGCCAAGCGAGTATTATCTTCGGAAAACACAACATGAGGGGACTCCTCAATAGTTAAGGTGCGTTTATTAAACACTCTATAGGCCTTGCTACAAAGTGAGTAACCGAGAAAAATCCCTTCATCCGACTTGGCATCAAATTTTCCCAAGTTATCTTTTCCGTTATTATGAACAAAACATTTGCAACCAAAGACTCGAAAATGGGAAAGGTTTGGCTTTCTCCCTTTATATAATTCATAGGGCGTTTTCATGAGTATCGGTCGAATGACGGCTTAGTTTAACACGTAGCTTGCGATACTCACGGCATCCGCCCAAAAATACTTAAGGATTTTTGCCTCATTGATCATAGTTCTAGCCATCTCTTCGAGACATCTATTTTTACGTTCCACCACTCCATTTTGTTGTGGTGTACGTGGGGCTGAGAAGTTATGATCAATGCCAAGTTTGTCACACAAATCTGAAAATAGATTTCGTTCGAACTCTCCCCCATGGTCGCTTCTTATGGCTACTATGGTTGTGTCTTTTTCATTTTGAACTTTCTTTAGAAAATTTTTGAAAACATGAAATGCCTCACTTTTATGAGTAAGAAACAAGGTCCATGTAAACCTAGAGTAGTCATCGACAATCACAAACGCAAAGTAATTACCACCAAAACTTTTCGTTCTAGAAGGACCAAAGAGATCCATGTGCAAAAGTTGAAGTGGTCTAGACGTTGAAACAACATTTTTAGACTTAAACGAAGCCCGAACTTGCTTCCCCTTTTGACATGCATCACAAATGGTGTCTTTTTCAAACTTAAGTTTTGGAATGCCAATTACTAAGTTTTGTGAAACCAATTTGTTCAAAAGGTTCATGTTTATATGAGCTACCCTTCGGTGCCATAACCAAGTGTCTTCCTCCTTACTCATGAGGCACTTAGCAAAGCCGGAAGGTGATTTGTCTAAGTTAACCATGTAAATGTTATCGATTCTATCACCACGTAGAATAACCTTATTGTCACTAAGGCGTTCTACCGTGCATGATTTTGAATCGAAGGTCACACGATTTCCCTTGTCACATAATTGACTTATGCTCAAGAGATTGTGTTTAAGACCTTTAACTAGCTAGACATTATCTATAGAGGAGTTTTCAAATTTACCTACCGAACCAATGCCGATAATCTTTCCCTTGCTATTGTCTCCAAAAATTACGTTTCCTCCTTTAGCGGGTTTGATTTGGAGAAACTTGGATGCATCCCTGGTCATGTGATTGGAGCATCCGCTATCAAGATACCAAAGTACACTTAATGCCTTCAAGCACACCTATTAAACACATCAATGAGTTTTAGGTACCCAATTTACATTGGGTCCTCGTGTGTTAGGTGTGTGATGGTAGTGTGCTTGATTTTGTGATAGGTGCATATGCATAGTGTAACAGACGGGAGCGATATGGCTTATCCTATTACAATAATGGCAAACTACGTTGGGGTTGTACATGTGCCTAAGTTCATAATAGTTAGAGTGTTTAACCATTTTGTTCCTATTTTGTAAAAAAGATGGTCTTTGAAAGTTTTGAAATTGATCTCTTCTAGGTACTCTAACATTATTTCTTCTATCTTGAGAAAAGTTGGTTTTATGCACAAAATCATTTTTCTTAGGTTGTCTACCATGTACATTTTCATTCCTAGGTTTTAGTCTAGGTTGTCTAGTGTCCTTAGGTTGACTAGGTTTTCTATTATCTTGATTTTTAGATTTCTTACGTTGAGCCTTAGATGATTGTCTAGGTGGTGGCTCAACGTTTTCTTTAACCTTAGCTTCATTTTTATTAAAACATATTCCTTCCTTAGAAAAATGCATAGTGTCAAGAAGCAAGTTTAAATCTTTGTGAGGAGTATTAAATTTCTTGACCGTGCTCTCAAGTTTAGTGACTTGTTCTTTTAAAGCTTTACAAGATTCACATTCATTTGAGGAACTTTCTGGTTTGTCAGCGCTTCTTTTTCCAAAAAAATTGTTTTCTTGTTTTAATTTTTCATTGTCTTTTTCCAATGTTTCAAAATCGTTTTCAAGTGTAGAAAGACGTTTCTTTAAAGATTTATTTGTTTTGGAAGCGTTAACAAATTCTTCATAAAGTTCATGAAGTGCTTCTTGCATTTGTTCAAAAGTATAAGAGTCGGAAGAAATAGTACCTACCTCTTGGACGTCGTCGTTTTGGTCTTCGTGCGCCATGAGGCAAAGATTTGCAGCTTCATCCTCCTCTTGGTCGGTTGATTCATCGCCGGAATCGCCACCCCAAGATATGTAAGCCCTTTGCTTCTTGAAATCGGGCTTGTCCTTGTCGTGCTCTGCTTTTGGACACCTTGGCTTGATGTGGCCAATCTCGCCACAGCCGTAGCACTTGGGAGGACCGTCGTGCTTCCTTCCCTTCCGCTCAAACTCCTTCTTCATGAACTTGTGAAACTTCTTAATGACGAGTCCAAACTCGTTGTCGTCATCGCTTGAAACTTCTTCCATCGTTTCCTTGGTTGCTTTAAGTGCTATACCTTTCTTCTTTTGTTCATCCAAAGACGGGGTTAGAATAGTAGATTCATAGGTTTTAAGATTACCTCTTAGCCCGTCGATGGTGACGTTGGAGACTCCAATGGATTCATAGATTGGATCGGCTTTCGATCTCCATTCGGGGGTGAGGCTTCGCAGGATTTTCCTTACGAGATGCTTGTTGGTATACGTCTTCTTAAGAGCATGGAGATCGTTTATAATTTTTGAGAAACGATCAAACATGTCGTCAATTTTCTCACCTTCCTTCATTCGAAACATTTCATACTCCTGGGTGAGAAAATCGATCTTGGCTTCACGCACTTGATCGGTACCTTCGTACGTCACTTCAAGCTTGTCCCACATCTCCTTGGCGGTTGTGCAATAGGAGATCTTTCGGTAGTCATCGGGGTTGACCGCACAATATAGCATATTGATGGCCTTTTGCATAATTCTCAATCTTCTTGATGTCCTCGGCATCAAATTCGTCCTCGGTCTTTGGGACTGTGGTTTCTCCCACTTTCCTCATAGGGATTTCCTCGCCATTCTTGATCACCAACCACAATTGGAAGTTGGTGGAACGGATATAGATTCTCATCCGTTCCTTCCAATAGAAGTAGTTGGTGCCATCAAAGAGTGGTGGCCTAGAAGTTGATTGACCTTCTCCAATTCCTGCATAAAGATTTCTAGAAGAAGAACCCATGATCGCTTTACTCTCAAACGGTTAAGTTTGGACGCGAGTTAGGCTGTGATACCAATTGTTAGAATAATAGCCCAACGCTAGAGGGGGGGTGAATAGCGTTTGATCAAGAAATCGCAAGAATTAAAAATAAATAAAGGAGAAGTAAAGAGAAGAGTAAGAGGCACACCGAATTTACCCGGGTTCACCACAACTTGTGGCTAATCCAGCCTCCCGAGAGACTCTCTCGAGCTACACTACTATCTCGTTAAGCTTAACGGTGCTTAACAAACCCGTACAACTTGAGAGTTCGAGTCACACGAACCTCAACGAACCTTCGAAGGAAACAACCCTTCCTTCGAACAACAAGAGAAATATTTTCTCTTGTCAAGTGTCTAAGAACAC